ATTAAAAAACCCTGCTTAAATCCCACTTGCCACTATTCCTCATGTGTTCTCGGGCAGCAGAAGAACATCACTGACTGGCCTCACTGTAAACTGACGACTGCCACCTCAACTCAGCCCCCATCCTGCCCAGAAATTCTACTGCTTTTCCTCTTCCATTCATTCTCACACTCTTCTAGAGATTATTTCCTACACCTTTCCTTTGATTCTCAAACCCCAGTGTCTCCTGTCTGCCCACTTCTAGCTCATGACAAGAACTGCCTTCCTATTTCACTGGGAAAACAGTAGCAATCAGAAGAGGCATGCACAAACTCCAACCACTGCATCGACCACCTGCTGCACCAGGTCTTTCCTCCTGTTACTGGGGACCAACCGCTCATCAAGTTCTCCGTGGAGACTGGTGCCCCCATAGAGCAACGTGAGCCTTTTTGTCTATTCTCTCTGTCTCCATTTTTTTCCTCCTAATTCCTTCTGGAACCCATTCCAATTAGGCCTTTGTCCCAGTCAAACAAACAGCTCTTGCCATGGTGACATTGACTCCCCCATTGCCAAGTCCAGTGGGCGATTCTCGTGTCCATCTTCTTTGACCTAGCAGCAATAGCAGCGTGTGATCACTCCCTGTTTCTCGAAACTCTTTCCACATGGTTTCTATCATACCACTCTTGGTTCTCCTCCCACCTTGCTGGTTGCCCATCAATTTCTTTTGCTGATTTCCTCTTCCTTGTCTCAATCCCTGAACACTGGCTGGCCCAGGGCTCAGTTCTAGGGCCTGTTCGTTTCTCACCACACTTCCTTCCTAGTCATCTCATCTGGTCCCAGACTTCCAGTTGCCATCAGGTACTGGCGATGCCCAGATCTGTATCTCCAGCCAGGACCTCCGCCCTGAATTTGAGCTTCCACCCACTTATTGAGCACCTTCACTTGTATGTCCACAGGTGTTTCAAACTTCACACATCCAACATCAAAATCCTGGTTTCCCCCCAAACCCGCTTCTCCTGTCGTCTTCCCTATCGCAGTAAATAGTCCCTATGTTCTTTCTGCTGCCGGGGCCTGCAACATTGGAGCCACCTTGATTCTCACATTGACACCCAGTTC